AACCGCTGAGCCACCCAGGGATCCCCTCCCTTTGCCTTTTTTGATCAGCCTTAAAATGCCTAAATCCAGTATTTTAAGGCTCAGCCTCCCAAGCTAAATTTACCAAGCCATTTTCCCATAATCTTTTCTTTACCCTTCCGAGTCATGTGCTTTCCTATTCCAAATTAAGATTCACTCCTGTAAGTCCTCGGGTTGCCGTCATTATAGGAGTCGTGATTTTATGCATGCTGCAGTAAAGAAGTTCATTCTGGAATTTCTTCTAAGCCTGGATCTTCCATAGCTGTTGTCTTTTCCTTCTCCCTCTGATGTTACTGTGTGTGTGCTCTACGTCATGTAGTGCTCTGTGTGTGTGGTACCTTGGTGGTGTTTAATGTGTGCTTATTGAGTGAATGATGGAATGATTGGGATGAATATCAATAAATCATCTAGTCTTGATCATTTCTTCAGCTTCATTCAATAAGCACTTGTTGGGGTCTTTATTGGAAGAAGCAAGGAACACACATAAGAGAGATCAGCCTTGGCTGAGAAGAATTGCACTGAACACATGGCTACCTGTCCTGTTTGTTGAAAGGCCTCCAGTGGCCAACTGGAGGTTTCAATGGCAAGCCTTTTTGAGCAGATACTGTTCTATCTCTTGTAGTAAAAAAAAGTTTCTGACATCATCATTCATGAGGGACATAAGCATTAAAGCAGTAGGGGTACAATCATAACCAAACTCAGGATCATCATGTGTCTTTTTTCCTGGATTTTTTAAAAACATTTCATTGTATTGATTTGCCTTTGAAACAGGTGGGATTTTCTACATAGTCATTGAAGGATTGGTCTTTCTTTCTTTCTTTCTTTCTTTCTTTCTTTCTTTCTTTCTTTTTTAAATACTGATTAAAGGTGAATCTAAGAAAGTGGAAGGTGGGTCTGGTAATACAGGAACGTGTTATATAGTTTCCAGGCTTGTTTCTGAAATTGAGGGTTCAAGTTTAAGAGGCTCTTCTGGATAGATGTGGATTATTTGAGACCAGAATATAAACACCTATGTTTGGATGCAGCCATGTCTCATAACATCTGGCTTCCTTTCTTAGTGTATTAAACGATAGGATTGAAAAGTTTTCACATAGTTTGGAACAAAAACTGATGTTTTTCCATGAGTAAGAGGTCCATGTGCTTGCAAGTAATTGAAGGCTAGTGGAAATAGTTTAAGATGTAGGAAATTCAAGCTGTGATTGACAATGAGAAGACTCATCTGTAAACCTTTACTCTCTAAGCATTATTTTTAAATGGCTTAAAAATAGTTTAATGTCACTGAGATGAAATACTGTCAACACCATTTTAATTTTTAAAAAATATCAATGTCGCTAATATTTTATTTTCACCTCACACATGGCCTTGTATGATTTTAATGTGAAAGGTATTTTTTATGGATAAGCAGAGAGAGACACTTGGTGGTTGACAAACAAGCACATGGCCTCTCCAGAAAAAAAGGAAGGAGAGTGTGTGATTTCTGCATGAAATTATCCCCTCTTTACCTAGAGTTTGATGATGAATACACTGAAATCATTAATGATAAACGTTGATAACACAAGCTAGCAGCTCTGAAAGGAGGTTATCCAAGGAGCAAATTGTTGCCTTGAGCCTTTATGCTTTATTTCTAAGGAAAAGCAGCCATTGCCTGGTCCCACCTGACAACTAGGAATAAGGTAAGACAGCTATTAAGGGACATCTAGTAGTGTAGGGTGCCTGGTGCCATAGAGTTTTCAACACAATGTTGGGAGCTGTGATGGAGAAATCGGGCAGGGCTTGAAGCATTGACCCAGGAGGGGTGTAGATTGGCCAAAGGCTTCAAATCAGTGGTCAAGGTCACACTGAGATCCCGTGGTGTAGAATGGGTCCGGCGGTCCTGTATCAGTCCTACTTAGAAAGCTGGCTCTCCTCCAAGCAGGAATAGAGGTATCTGGAGCAAAGAGTGGGCACAGAGCTGAAATCAAGGAGGGGCTGATGACGGTGGGTAGATCAGAAGCCCAGAATGTCATCAGGCGGAAACAGAAAGGAGAAAGAAATCGAAATTGCAAGGAGAGTGCTGGTGGCGGAGGCAGCCAGAAGTTACAAATTTCCTATTATTGGTGAGCCGCATCTCAAGAATGTTTAGCCTTGTAGCTGTGAGTAATGAGAGGGAACACAGCAGCAAGGAGGGACATCTGATAGCAGAGAGAAGCCCAACTTCTGTGAAAATATTACATTCGTCTGGGCCATTTATTATACAGTTGACCCTTGAACAGCATGGATTTGAACTCCACTTACACACAGATATTTTTCGGTAGATACGGTGGCGTGCTGTAGATGTGTTCTCGTCATGATTTTCATACTAACGTTCTCTTTCCTCTTACTTTATTTTTTTATTTTTTAAAAAGATTTTATTTATTTATTCATGAGACACACACACACAGAGAGGCAGAGAGACAAGCAGAGGGAGAAGCAGGCTCCATGCAGGCAGTCGACGTGGGACTCGATCCCAGATCCCCAGGATCACACCCTGGACCAAAGGTGGCACTAAACCCCTGAGCCACCCAGGCTGCCCCTCTCTGGCTTACTTTATTGTAAGAATACGGCATATAATATACACAACGTACAAAATAGGCATTAATCAACTCTTCATGGGATTGGTAAGGCTTTTCTGGTCCGCAGCAAGCTAATAACCTTTTGGGGGAGTCAGAAGTTACACATGGAGTCTTGACTGTGCAGGAGGTTGGCACCCCAAAGCCCTGCATTGCTCAAGGCTCAACTATAGTTACCTGTGGGTCTTTATTAGTATTTGGGGCCATTTCTGTCTCATCAAGCAGTAGAATCATGACTGCTTAAACTTGCTGACAGTATTCGGGCAAAGTGTGTGTTGTATTATGATTTTGGAGCCATTCCTTATCTCAAAAGGGGAAAAGGTTCTTGTATGTAAAATGGGGAAAGTGGGATGCCTGGGTGGCTCAGCTCGTGATCTCAGGGTTCTGGGATCGAGTCTCATATCGGGCTCCCTCTCAGGAAGCCTGCTTCTCCCTCTGCCTGTGTCTCTGCCTCCTCTGTGTGTCTCATGAATAAATAAATAAAATCTTTTTAAAAAGGGTGTGTATTTGTGCAACCGACTACTGTGCCTCAGTTCCCACTGATCATGAGACACTGGGGGGTGTTGATGTCTGACAGGAACTGTAACTTTTAATCTTTTCATTCAGGTGTCAGGTCTTGCTTTTGGGTGTAAGTTTCCCACTGTTGTCCCATCCCCCTGGGCGCTGTGGTCGAGGCGTGTTAATATGCATTCACTCTCTGTGCTGTTTCTTCTGATTTTTTTTTTCTGAGCCAGCTTCCCAGCCACCAATAAAAAGAAACACTGTAGAGGCATCTGGGGGGCTCAGTCAGTGAAGCGTCTCCCTTCAGCTCCGGTCATGATCTCAGGGTCCTGGGATCGAGTCTCAACATCGTCAGGCTCCCTGCTTGGCGAGAGGCTGCCTCTCACCTGCCCCCCGCCCCCGCCCCAGTCACTTATGCTCACCATCTCTCAAATAAATAAATAAAATCTTTTTAAAAACCCGCTGTACTGTAAGTATAAAATAATAAAATCACCTCCTGATATTCCTGAAGAATATTTCCTTGTGTTTGGTTTCCTATGCATGTGATTTTTGTAAACTGTTGGTAGTTAAGTTCTCAAGGAACTTATAAAGGCTGAGAACGGGTTAGTTCTCTCAGTGAGCTTGTGTCACATGTCCTTGCACCCTGAACACATCCTTCTTATTGGCCTGCCTGCCCCCCACCCCCAGACCCAGCATTTCTTGTGCGCGCACTGGGCATTGATACCTTTGCAGACTGCGGTGTGATGACCCGAGACAGGGTCCTTGGGGTTCTCTGGGTATCTAAAGCCTCCCCCTTGTTTGGTGAAGCAGCGCAGTGGTAGGGAGTCATGTAAGCAGTTCTTCTCTGCTCTCGTGTCCTCCCCCTGCTACCCCAACCGGGTTTTGCATGGGGGAGCAGCCCCAGCCCGGCGGGACTCTTCACGATGATCCTCGGAGTCACTTGTCGAATGACATCATTGAATTAATTAAAAATCCACTTTAGATTTGCAGATAAAAGAAAGTAATAGATCCCTCGGTATTTCTGTACGTCTCGGCCAACTGATGTATTTAGAAATAGCAGGGGGTATTTGCAGCTGTTACTCCCTCAGGGACAGGCTGCAAATACGTTTATTTATCTACTAGCATTTATACAGGCTGTGAGTTACGAGATGACCTCCGTCTTTGCAAAATAAATCCTGGTATCCAGAGTCCAGCCAGCCTCATCTATTGCTGTATAGGGAAAGTGGATATTGAAATTTGTTTTCTTGGGAAAGCGGGAAGGCTCCATCTCGCACGCATAAGGTTGCTGTGAGTGGGTTATAAAACTGCCAGACACCTATTAAACAGGGGGTGTTGCTCATCTTTATTGAGCAGGAGTCGGGTTCTGATTGTGTGCAGGGCTGTTTGGGGCCTTTATGTGCACACATTCCCAAGATCGGCAGCTCTCCGCCGCTGACCGATAAGCTGTGTGCTCTTGGGCTCAGGAGACAGGGATGAGCCGTATCAGCCACAGAGTCTCCCCGAAGCCCTGCGAACTAGTTCCATAGCAAGAGGCCCCGTCTTCTGAAGATGCGCCTGCTGTGTGTTTCAGATGACTGATTGCCTGCATTACTCTGCTGTGCTTCAGTTATAGCACCTAGGAAGATCAAAGCAGTGCACTGTGAATTTTTTTGCTCGGTGTAAATTTAAGCATGGCCACAAAGGCGTGTTTCCTTCCCTTGGAAAAGCAATTTAGCCTGCAGAAAATAATTAAATCCACAGTATCTCGCAATAATGAGAAATTTGAAAGGGGGAGGGTTAATTATTTCAATCCGATTTTAGTTACCCAATAAAGTGTTTAAGGAGAGCGTCCAGACAGGGCCCGAGTTAATTTACGATACCATGACTTTCAGCGTTTCTGTCCTTTCCCTGCAGGATCATGCAGATCTGCGAAGCCATTTCTTCACAGTTGGGATGAAGCTAGAAACAGTGAATTTGAGCGAGCCCTTTCATATCTGTCCTGCATCAGTGACCAAGGTGAGCTTCCCTCCCTTGCTCTTTTACCTTCATGTCCAGCCGACGGGACGAAATGTGCTGGCGCAGGGGGTGGAGTGCAGCGGGGCGAAGCAGCCCCAGAGCGAGCGCCTTCTCCTTGGGCCACGCTGTCCTAAGGGGCTCCTTTGGTCCCTGGCCCCACAGAGCCAGGCTGAGCACATGCCTCCTGTTGCGGCAGATTTGGTTCCTACGGGCTGTCAGGGCTGGTGGCCTTGAGGGACCCGGAGGGAGGCTCAGGTGCGCTGCTGACTGTACGGCCGTGAACTCCGCCGCCAGTACGCGGCACCTTCTTCGGTCAACCAGGGTCACGTCCACGCTGCTGTTTGTCCCCGTCCTCGTTCACTTGGGCTGCTCCGGATTCACCTGCTGTAATCGTTGCAGTGGCAACTCGCTCCTCTTCCACAGTCATTCGTGGGATCCCCTTGTATTTTGGAAATGCCCGACAGCGGTGGAAAGCACATTCCCATCTCCAGTGTGTGTCCCCACGTCTGCCTCCTTGTTGCCCCTGGCTCTCATTCACTAAAGGGAGAGCATGCTTCTCCGTTTTGCAGATTCAAAATGAGATTACCTTTTAAGGTAAAGTCCATTTTCCTGACGGTCTGATGGTTTTTCAAGATTATAATTTCCCTCGGCTGTGCCAATCATCTAGAGGAAGTCACCTGTGGAAGTCACACCTCCAGCATGTGTCTGTACCTGAAGCATCCTCCTACAGATGGCCGGGGAAACCGAGAAACCCACCTTTCTTACCCAATGTATGCTTTAGTTAATGGCCTTTTGTGTGGGAACTTAATTAACGGTCCAAAAGTCAATTCCATTTTAATTTCTTTTACCAAGGAAGACTGGATTTGTTAATACAGTGATGAGTGTTTCAGAGTCATTTTGTATGCTCTGTCTCTCTCTTTTTTTTTAATTTATGATTTGGTAAGGCTTGAGAGATACAGTGGTGATAATGTATTTCAGAGTCTGGAAAACGGCTGTAATCATGAAAGGCCTTTCTCTTTTTTTCTCAATTTTTTTTCTTTAGAACATAAATTACTTTTATGTAACTGTTATAGTAATTTATTTAAAAAAATAACTGCAGCTTCAGAAAAAAAATTCTGACTTATGCTTTGCATGATGGTTTTTTGGGTTGCGATTTATGTTCTTAACAGTCATAAGCCATGCACTAAAAGCCTTTTTATTTAAATTGACCTTTGGGGCTCTTCAATGTGTATTCTGGTAGGTGCACATTTTCCCAGAACTGGTGAGTGATACCTTGCTGAAGCCTGGCCAAAATTTTCCTTTATTCCAGCTGCAGCAGATACACTGATGCCAGCTGCCCATTTATCTGGATATATATTACCCTGTCCTCACTCTAAGAGGTCACGGTGTCTGCTTCACCTGATGTTGGTATAGTAAATAGAGATGCCGGTGGTGTCAGTAGTAGGCTGACACTCTTATGTCTGTAAATAATTATAATCTATAATGTTAGAATGTGACATAGTACTTATGCTTAGTTTCAGCCCAAATATCCTTACCTTGTTGGATAGATTTCCAGTCACTATAGTTTCGTTTCCCGATACATAATTTTCTAAGTAAGTCTTATTGAGGGTGGGGGCAGGGAGGATATTTTCTCTTAATTTTTTTAAGGTACATTTTCTTTTTTGCACTTTATTTTTTTCTTACCCATTTTACCAAAGATAAAGCACTCAGTCTCTCTGTTGCACATGCACCCTTCTTTTGTCTCTTACTGGCCCTCAGTTGTCAGACCCCTGGATGGCAATGTGTACTTCGATGGGCACGTCCCCAGGTCCGGACTCCCCTACATAGAGTGCAGTATCAGGATATTCTTTAATGCAGTAGGTATTTATAATTAAATGTATTCCTTCCAACATCGGAGAAGGTTTTAGAATATTACGATTGAGAATATAACACTCTGCTGTTAGTACTCACTGTAATGAAAATGTCATTCTCATTTTCCTCAAGGCTTTTCTTCATGGCACACCTATTGAAGAAATAAATAAATAACATTAAAGCCCATAGACAGGAAAGCAGTTAACTATGTAGCAGATCCTGAATAAAATGCCCAACATTTAGCCATTTAGCCGTAGAGTGAGATTATAGATTATGGGGTTTTTTCTTTTTCTTTCTTTTTTTTTTTTTTTGGTGATCCAAAACAGTATGATACTGACAGATGGTGATGACATATCATCTGTGTATGTGAAATATATCATATTATTTAGACCAAGAGTCTTGGTTCCATTTCTTCTATGGCTAGCTCTAGCCACATAGTCTTGGGCCAGTTGGTTAACTGCTCTAGGTTATAGTTCTGAGACCTGCAGGTTATGGCCCCAAGAGCTCAGTGTTTCTGCACCATGTGGGATGTGACCCCGTTGGATTTGAAAAAACTGATTTAGCTTTTTTCTGAAGTACGCACACACGAATGTGCATGTTAATAGGTTTTGGAGATCCCTTAGTGCCCATCGTTACAGGGTCCAGTGGTGCTAAGAGGTTCAGCCACCAGAATTCCACGTTTTTTAATAAAGATTTTATTTATTTATTTATTTATTTATTTATTTGAGAGAAAGAGAGAGAGAGAGAGTGCACACACAAGGAGGGGGAGCAAAAGGCAAAGGGAGAGAGAGAAGCAGGCTCCCCGCTGAACAGGGAGCCTGACATGGGGCTCAATCCCAGAACCCTGGGATCATAACCTGAGCCGAATGCAGATGCTTAACTGCCTGAACCACCTAGGCACCCCAGAATTCCACATTTTTAATATGCATCTGTGTGTGCGTGCACACGTGTATACACACACACACACACACACACACACACGCATGTGAGACTAGGTCCTGTTGGCATTTGTAGGAGCTGGTCTGGACAGTGGAAATGTAGACAAAAGTCCCTGGTTTTACAAAGCTTATATTTTAATGGTGAGGGCGGGGAGACAAACAAAGTAAGCAAATCGATACAGAATGTCCCATGTTAAACGCTAAGGGGAGAGACACAGCAGGGGCGGGACAGGCTGAGGGTGGAAGGCTGGAGTGTGGCAGGGGAGATGGGGTTTGAAACTGGGCTGCAGGGAAGATCTCACTGGGAAGGTGAGGTTTGATCCTTTGCTCTGTAAGGTCTGCTTCCATAGGCAGACCTCAAGCAGCAGAATGATAGCTATTTACTGGAATGAACATCGAGGAGAACAAAAGTGAGTGCACTCTGCAGCTTTTGCTTTTAATTTAGACTGCTTCCGGAAGATATTTTGTAAATGAAGGAGCTAGGAATCACAGCCTCAATGAGAGCGTTAGGATTTCCTGAGAAACTACTGGTTTATGGCTGTTGAGCCCATAAAGTGATCTCTTTTTTTTCTGGCCTGTGTCACATACTAGACTCTTTAAAACCATCACGCTTTTAAGTGCCCGGGTCCATCTCGTTTTTGCATTCTGCTCTTCCCACCAGCATACCTTGTTCTGTTCCTTCACCAACGTGTTTTTTTTTTTTTTTCCCTACACACTGTGTGGCTGTTTATGCAGTTCCTTTGTACAAAGCGTTTTCTGGGCCTTGTGGGAACACCTTGACTGAGTGACAAAGCAGAGACTGCCCTCCAAGGATCTGCTGGATGAGACCAATTTGGGATGAGGAGTTTCGAGACAGAGGTGCAGGGCTGAAGCTTTGAGGGCACAGAACCGGAGTGGTCAGGAGAACGTTCCAGCAGCACTGACTTTCAGGATGTACCTTGAACCATGCTCTTGTGCTTTTTTGCAAGAGCCTCAGCGGGGCGGGCGTGTGTTCTAGGCTGGGAGGATGCTGAGCAGGATGTACGTGCCAGGGGGAGTGATCCTCCTTGGGCTGCAGCCTGAGGTGGTTGGAGGGCTGTGATGCCGGGTGAAGCCAGAAGTCCCCAAGCCAGACGGTGGAGCTTCTCGAGTGATCTGACGTGAGGATGTGGGTCCCTGCTGTGGACACGGAGAAACCACTCACCTTTCAAGGCCCGCCTTTGCTTGGCCATAGGCCTGGGTTTGTTTCACTGTGTGAGTTTGGTTTTCTTCCAGCCTGAGCCATCAGTTTACCTCTCTAAAGCCACCAGTGTTTTCTATGTCTACTACTCTTTTCTCTGTATGCTACTCATTGGCTTGTCTTTCTATTACAGTGACCACAGGGAATCAACTCGTAACATTTTTAGCAATTGGATCGATTTACTAGTATACATTGAAGCACCAGTTTGTGCTTGAGGAAGTACATTTATTCCATTTGGAAGCTGGGACAGCTTTTCATACTAGTTTTGCCTGAAAAATTCTAAAGTATTAACACTTGGTTCTCTGGTTGTTTTTTTTTTCTTCCAGGTTTTTAATAATCATTTTTTTCAAGTGACTATTGACGACCTCCGAGCAGAACCTAGTAAACTCTCGATGCTGTGCCATGCTGATTCTTTGGGAATTTTACCAGTCCAATGGTGCCTTAAAAACGGAGTCAATCTCACACCTCCCAAAGGTCTGTATTCTGTGCAAACGCACGGGGTTGGGGCGGCTCACGAGGGTGTCCTGCTGTCAATGAAGCGTTCCTTGGTTGATCTCGAGCAGTTTACCTTGTAAAGGATTTCGATGTCGTGGGAAAAATGTGTCCCACAGGTGGCTCGACACAGGAGTCTGTCCCAGCTCCCTACCCCTGTGGGGTGCATGACTATGGGCTTTGCGAGAAGCTACTTCCGTCCTCAGCTCCTTGCTCGGTTACTGCTAATGCCTGGTGACAGAGGACATGGAGCATCACTAAGTGATCAGGGCTCGACACTTAAAAGTGTCTGAGAAGTGGCTTTAAAAATGCAACACGGGGCGCCTGGGTGGCTCAGTCAGTTGAGCATCTGACTCTTGATCTCAGGTCTCCATCTCCAGGTGGTGAGTTCGAGTCCCATATTGGGCTCCACACTGGGCGTGGAGCCTTCTTTAAAAAAAATGCAATGAAACACTAAAGAAGCATTTCTTGCCATTTTTATTTCCAATCATTTAAATTTCCCCCAGAGCTCAGTCACTCTCTGATAACCAAGAATTTGATGCCACAACACATTAAAATAATTAAATCGGGAGCCGGGTTGCACTAAAATAGTTTCAAGTTGGGACCCACGAACCACATTCTTGTTGGTAAGGCCGGTGCTTGGTGTGCCGTGACGTGGTTTGCTGTCCCTGACCTATCTGGTGCTCGTTCAGGGAAGACAGCAGCTGGATGGAAGGAGACAAGGTGGGAGGGAGAACAGAGGGGATGGAGTGATAGCAGAGGAGATGGGAAGGCATTAGACAGAAGAACAAACGTGTGGTGGGATTTTAACAGAGACCCACAGATGACACAGGGGCTCTGTGCTGACCTTTCCAGATCGCCAGGGACTGGATAATCGGTAGCGGTCACCCTGTGGGAAGGTTGATACCCGCAGGTCAGGCTCCAGATGCCTGGTGTCAACAGATCCCAGAGGACCTGTTGTGCTGCTCTCGCCTCGCTCGTCCATCCTGTGATCCACTGGGCGCTTCTCCTCCATCCTCCCTATCCTCCCTCTGTCCACCTCCTTCCTCCTCCATGCTCATCCCCACCCGGGAGATCCCTGGGGGTATTTCCTCCTCAGCTGTTGATCCCTCCCCTTAGGGTGCTGCGGGGGCAGAAAGTGGCCTCGTTACAATGTGGTGAACTTTCACAGTCACTGTTTGCCTTGTTGTATGCATCTGACTCATTCCATCCTCAAAATGAGCACAGCCCTGGGACGAGGCTTCGTCACAGCACGGTTCTGTGACCCTCCCAAGGTCACCTGGCTGGTGAGGAGCAGGGAGGAGGTCCACCTGCTGGTGCGGTGCTGCCCGGGGTGAGGACTGCAGTTCCTGAGAGCTCACCTGAGCTTCCGGGTCGGTCCTCACAGGTGACTCTGGCCACTTCATGCTCTGGTTTTCGAGACTGTCTTGTGGGACACCTGCCAGATTCCACGGCTGCTCTGCAGAGTCAAAGACGGACTCAAGTCTGTGTATCTCTATAGTCCTCTTCGATGGTTCTACAGGGTTTTTTTGTTTGTTTTGTTTTGTTTTTTGTTTTACATCGTGAACAATCTAGTGGTAGCAGAGAAGATCGGAGAAGTCTCTTTCTGCTGCAAAATTTAGTGACGGGTCACTTGGCTAAGTTTGAGAGTCCCGTGGACCGTCTCTCCTTCCTGACTCATTTGTGCGACTGGGTCTGCATCACTGAAGAAAGACTTCTTCTAGATATCTAAAGTGTTGCGTGGTTGGACTTTCTAAATACCTAGGTAGTAATAAGATCTACTTAAGAATTTTTTTAAAAGATTTTATTTATTCATGAGAGACACAGAGAGAGGCAGAGACACAGCAGAGGGAGAAGCAGGCTCCCCACGGGAAGCCTGATGTGGGACTCGATCCCAGGACCCCGGGATCGCGACCTGAGCCCAAAGGCAGATGCTCAACCCCTGAGCCACCCAGGTGTCCCAATCTATGTAAGAATTTAAAGAAAAAATGAGTTGTGTGAAAAGGAGGGGGGAAACAGTCATATATGCATTTCATCGGCTTCATTATTCCCTTAAGCGGAGGTTAAATGTTTCCCCAGTGTTTCTAGATTTTTTAAAAATATATTTCTTATGAACTTTAAGTGTTAGAAATATGTCTTAGAAAAGAGATTGTTGGCACAGTTTGGATATTTATTTGGAAAATGGTTGTGCCTATTTGGTTAATTGCGTTTCATGATATATGGAGAAATACAGTTGAGGAATTATAATTCTAGGGAATAATTTTTCCAAGTGCCTGTGGCTATAACAGAGTCTTGGCTTTAATTACTGAGCTCTCGTCGTTTTGTGAGAATATGTTATATATTTAAATATATGTTATGCACATAGTAACGTATTTGTTTTTGTAATTAAAGTGAATTAAAATGGAGAGGTGGAGGTGGGGGTTTCCGTAGCGGTGATTTTATGGTTTCCTTGGGAGGTTAATTTGTTACCTGTCTTATGTGTCAGAGCAGGGCTGAGTGGGGATCATGCTGTAGAATTTTTTCAAACACCGTTCTTTGCTTTATTAATGTCTGAACATCTGCACTCTTCTTTTTTTTAAAGATCTAATTTATTTATTCATGAGAGACACAGAGAGAGAGGGAAGCAGAGACACAGGCAGAGGGAGAAACAGGCTCCATGCAGGGAGCCTGATGTGGGACTCGATCCCAGGTCTCCAGGATCAGGCCCTGGGCTGAAGGCAGCGCTAAACCGCTGAGCCACCCAGGCTGCCCTATCTGCACTCTTCTGATAAAAGTTGTTTTTAGCTTAAATTGTGAGCTCTATACATAGAGCATCTTTGATTTCTTAGACATGTTGAGAAATGATATAAATGTTTTCTTGCATGTATGTTTTCCATGAACATATTACATTGCTTAGATTTCTGTTTGAACAGTAAATACCACTTACAGTCACAACGTATTGCCGATCCCCGAACGATATTATCCCAGGTGTCCCCCAGTGGGAAGCAGTGGATGAAACAAAAGATATCTGGTGATGGGACGTCTGGGTGTCTCAGTGGTTAAGTGTCTGCCTTTGGCCCAGGGTGTGATCCTGGAGTCCTTGGATCGAGTCCCATATCGGGCTCCCTGCATGGAGCCTGCTTCTCCCTCTGCCTGTATCTCTGCCTCTCTCTCTCTCTCTCTCTTTTTTTTTAAAGATTTATATATTCATTCATGATAGACACACACACAGAGAGAGGCAGAGACACAGGCAGAGGGAGAAGCAGGCTCTATGCTGGGAGCCCAACGTGGGACTCGATCCCAGGTCTCCAGGATCGCGCCCTGGGCCAAAGGCAGGCACCAAACCGCTGAGCCACCCAGGGATCCCCTGCCTCTCTCTCTCTCTCTCTCTCTCTCTCTTTCTGTGTCTCTCATGAATAAATAAATAAAATCTTTTAAAAAAAGATATCTGGTGATATAGGGGATTTGCAGAGAACATAGACTCATACTTACCTTGTTTTGACTCTATTTCTTAATTTAAAAAAATCTGTGGAGTTTGGAGAAAAATAGTGCGTAAGCTAGAATGGACAGGAAGGCTTCAGTCCGTCTCTGAGAGCAAATGCTTTCCTGGTCAGCAAAGGACAGTACCGTGAACCTTGGAAGGCTTATTCCATTCGTTTAAAGCCAGCAAACAACAATTCAATATTATGGGCACTATAAAAAGTGATCAAGCAAGGAAATAAATCAGCTAAGCAAAGGTATCTATCGGTTATCAACCATGACTTGCTATTTTTAAACTATTTCATTAGCCTTGTTGGCATGTAACATCAAGGATGAGTCATAGAATAAGAGGAGTAAATGGCTCCCCCAGAGGGATCTTAGTGGAAAATAGTAAATAAGCCGTTACATTTGTTGTGAATCTGTTGCGAAGTGGGTGCGCAAAGACTCAAAGTAAATCGCTAAAATAAAGCACTGTGTCTCCACAATTTGGCCGTCTTAATAATAGGCAGATAAACTGTTAACATGATTTAAGAAGTAAAAGTGTGTTTTTCGTTATTACCAAGCTGCAAAGCCCCGATCTCCTATTTGGTACTGTCTTTTCCTAAAGCAAGACCTCATACACTGGCTGATGCACTTGCCCCGTTTTGTAATCTGTTATATTTCAGACATAGCAAAGGGGATAGAAAATAATAAATACACATGCTCTTAGACCTCCTGCCGTGATGGAACACAGTGCTGGCATTTGGCCACATTTGATTCAGATTTTTAAAAAGTGATGTAAAGCATTACAGTATATAATAGAGGACCGAGTCCCTTCTTTCTGTCTCTTCCTCACACTCCATATCTGTTCCATCGGTGGGAAGTCCCGTTGATATTTTCGGGATCTGACCAGGTGTCATTACGACCACGCTGGTCCAGGCCACCATCACATCTGTCCTAGGTTAGTGCAGTGGCCACCCCGGCTTCCTTCATGTGCTCTCAGATGAGATGGCCAGGCTGGTGGTATTAGGATGTGCATCGCACACATCCCTGCTCTGCTCGGACTGTCCAGGGACTGACACCTTACTCAGAGCCAAGTTCAGGTCACAACCGACAGTGTCCCTGTGGTTCCCTGTCTGGCCTCCATCCAGGCTGGCCCCAGACCCACCGGCCTCCTTGTCCTTCCTGGGGCCTGGCACTCGTCCCCCCTTGTTAGGTTGTTAGGTGGTCTGTCCTCCTCCTCCTGCCTTCCTGGGCGGTGTCTTTCTTGGCTGTCCTGTTTAGTGTGGATTAGAGATTTCTCCCCCCAACCTTTGTATCTCCTCCCTTGCATGGCTTTGCAGCAGAGAACTTTCTAGCATGTCAGATACAAGTAATGGGTATTTTCCTTCTTTGTCTCTCCGCTAAAGAGAAACATTGCTGAGAACAGAGCGGGGACTTTGCTCTGGTTCTCTGCTCATCAGCAGCGGCTAAAATAGTGTGGCTCTTGGTCAGTACCTGTTGAGCATTGAATGGACTCAAGTCCAGCCCTCATTCTGTGCTCCTCCCTTCCTCCCCAGCCACGTCTCCAACGCTCCACCCAGGCTCCGCCGGGATAACCGCCTTCCCAAAGATATTCCGCTTTTACTGCTGGACGTGCAGGCTCTCAGTGTTAGCTTTCCAGTGCATCTTTTTGATATGTGCACAAACCGGATCGTGCTCTATCTTTATGTAACTTTTACACCCTCCAGCGTTTTGCAGATCTTTGTCAAGATGCTGATGCATGTCGATTATTTATTCATTTTGCCCATTGTGGGATTATGCGTTAATTCTTGAAATCCGCTTCCCATTGGGAGATGTTGAGGGTTTTTCCTGCTTTCCCTGTGGTGGATGGTACTCAAGGGTGCATCTTTGTACATGCCCCCAAAAGTGCCTGATCTCTTGGGGTGTGTACCACGAATGAGTGAGGAATTGCTGGAGCTCCATTTTGCATCATGCTCACTATTGTTATCATGCCTGGACATTGCCATTGTGAGGACCATGAGACAGGTCTCCTCGTTTCGCTTTCGTGTCCCCAGTCCCTCGTGCAGCGGAGCAGTTCGTCGAAGGCCTGTGGGCAATTTGTATTTCCTTTGCATTGTTGATTATATTTTTTTGCCCTTCTCCTGTTGATTATAGAAGCATTTATATGTTTGAATATGAATTCTTCTTTTGCACATCACAGTATATAATAGTCTTGCCTGTGGCTTTTCGCTTCACTTTTGAATGGTATTTCATATTATTATTGAAATACAAAATTGTAATGGAATCAGATACCAATCTTTCCCATTATGATTTGTTTATGTCTTTAGAATTTTTTTTTTACTGATGTTCTGCAGTGTTTTCTTTAAAAACCTTGCAGTTTCATGTTCTGTATTTAGCCCTTTAGTGTACTTGGACTCAATTTTTTGCAAGGCATGAGGAAAGAAAACAGTGTTATTCAATTCTTTTGCTTAAGTTGAACTGGATTTTCAGATTCATCCTTTGTGGAAGCATAATTGATTGAATGGTCTGAGATTTCCCCTGGGATCTGTAACGCCACCACGAATGTACAGCAAGTCCCTTTAATGGCTGAGGACCTTAGCTACGTCATTCTAGTTCATTGGTCCATTTGTCCGTCTCTGCATAAACAACTTCACTTTTGTTAAAAACTGATTTCACTTTATGTCTTGATATGCATCAGGTGAATCCTTCCACTTTTCCTCCTTTTCAGAATTGTCTTGGTTGCTTTTGGCAGGTTACTGTCGTGCATGAATTTTGGAATCAGTTTGGGAGACAGTATGCAAAACCCCATTGGATTTTCACAGACAATGCATTAGACTTAATTAATTTAGAAAAATTGACATATAGTATCTTTTATAACTTTTGGTCTACTGCTAGAATTTTTCCAGGCACATTGTCCTTTTGCTTGCTGTCATGAATGGCTTTTTTTTTTATTACTATTCATTTGATTTTTTTACTGGCTATGGCCAGTATAATGGAATACCACTGGTTTTTGCATGTTTATTTCCAGCTGCCTTGCTAAGCAGTGTGTCTCCAGAACAGTTTGTGTAAGATATGGATGACCCGACTCTTGAAGTTTTGGTAAAACTAGCTTGTAAAACCATCTGGGGCTGGTGCTGTTTCAGTTTGTCTTCTGTTGACTATGAATTTATTTCCTTGAATGTTTGTTCATTTAGTCATGGTTACCACTTCTGTTTGAGACAATTTGGGTAATGTATGTATGTTTACGGAATTATCTGTTTTAGCTGTGCTTTCAAATGAACTGTCAGAGTGTTCTCTTAGGTCAAACTTATTAATTGAATTGTTCCACCATTAGGTATTCACTCTCTATTTTTGTTTGTTCTGTAATTTGCTAGAAGGTACATCATAATATTATGAGACTGAGGATCTGTCAGTTTGTGTGCGCGCGCGCACGTGTGTGTGTGTGTGTTAAGCATGCAGGGTGTTCAGGTTCGGGACTGTTGGAGCTTGCTGGTGTTAACCCTCTTTATCCCTAGCCAGTCATTTTGTTTTAAAGCCTTTTCTTGTCTGAGTCTCATGTTTATTTGTTTCCTTATGCAGGTTGTGATTTTTCCATTGTGCACTAATTTTCAGTGGTGGTTGTTATTTCTGTGGGATTTCCGTAATCCTTAGAGTGAAGTACTTCCTTCCATCTAGCTATTTATTAGGGTCTACCCAGTGTTCTAGGAGTTTTGCAAGTCCTAGGGTATTTATATATCACTGTCTTTACCTCCCCACTAGAAAGTAAGGATTTTTTAGGGGCACCTGGGTGACTCAGTGGTTGAACGTATGTCTGCGGCTCAGGGCGTGATTCTGGAGTCCCGGGATTGAGTCCTGCATCGGATTCCTCGCAGGGAGCCTGCTTCTCCCTCTGCCTCTGTTTCTGTCTCTTATGAATAAATAAATAAATAAAATCTTTTTTAAAAAGTAAGGATATTAAAAATCACTTTTATTCACTTCTGTATCCCCAGCACCTAAAACGGTGCCCGGTACATGTCGCTGTCCCTGGATATTCAAGGAATGAACAAATGTCACATTAATTTCTCAGCCTGTACCATATAGAGTTGTATAATTGTGCAGCATCCCTACATGTGCCCCTGGCTTGGTGGAGCACAGGTCTCTGCTCTTTCCCTCCTTGACCAGAGCCCTGGGCAGGGACCAGTCAGGTCTGCACCCTCCTCTCTTTCAATGAACTAAGTGTGTCTGGTTCCGTTTCTGCAGACCCAGCATCCGACTGAGACCAGGTATTATAGGATAGTCACAGACCCTGATGTTCCCTTCTCTTGACCCCATGGCTGTGTTCTGCTCCACGTGGGCTCCAGATATTTTCTGGGCTGGTCAGCTCTGCCTTTGTGTCCCAGTTGGGTTTTTGGCATCTGGAGATTTCTTTCTCTTTTGAGTTTGGCTGTGTAATTATTTTTACTATATTTTGTCTGACATCTGAGAAGGATCCATCTTGTTGCTGGACTTGGAAGTTGATTCTCATTTCTAGCTTTCTGATTGATTGAACAAAAATTCGCTTTTGATTTGAAAAGAGTTGGAGTAAAATTCTCTGGGTCATTTTTTTATATCTGAAAATATTTCCAATTGTTGGAAATGGCCTCCCTCTCATTCATTTATTCCTCGTTTTGCTTCATTGTTGAGGATTCTTACCATGGCTTTGCCATTGGCAGCTGATACTTATATGATGTTAGACTCCATCCTGGAGACGTGTCCACATTTCCTAACATTGTGTTTATAATTCAGATTAACATTTTGAGCATGTCCCTGGACAGAGAACTGTATTAAGTGTCATACTGTCACCTATATGCATTGATTCTTATTCTAAAAGATAAGGATGTTGGAATGGCTGGGGTTTATGTTCACTTGACTTATTTGTTTCCGTCCTCTTTCCTTATTTTCCATGGTTCTTTTCCCCCTGCCTTATTCTGTGAGTGTAAAACCAGAATAATTTAGTTGCAAATGAATGTGTCCCTTGTAAAGATCTACATCAGGGATAAATTTACTGAATGTCCACCGAGGAAATGAGGGAGCTGGCTGATTTTTTTCATTAATATTTGTTTATTTATTTAACTCCCATCTGTCTTTTACCCTTAGAAATTTTGCTTATTAGTTTTTTGTTTTAATTCTGCTCCTTGGGGTGCTTGGGTGGCTCAGTTGGTTGAGCATCTGACTTTGGCTCAGGTCATGATTCCAGGTTCCTGGGATCAATTCCCAGGTCAAGCTTTCTGCTCAGTGGGGAGTCCGCTGCTCCCTCTCCCTCTGCCCCTTCCATGTTTGTGTTCTTTCTCTCATTCTCGCTCTCCCAAATAAATAAAATATTAAAAAAACAAACTCTCTCCTTTCTGCAGAACTTGTAGTCATCATCGTTAGCATGCCTGCCCTCTTAGTAGGTCAAATGCCTTTTATTTGGTTCCAGTATCAAGCCTTTGCTTCATTATCACCCCAAACAGAATACACTAAAAACTGACCTTCAGGGGAGGGGGACGTGTAGCTCTTTAGCAAATAGCATGGGTAAGAAGATGGGTTAAAAGTGTTTTTGCCTTCCTGCCTATGAGCCTGTAGGCAGCTTCGTTCATGAATGGAATTGGGGATTGTTGGGGACCCTTGCTCAGGAAGGGGCAGGCTGGTTCCCGGGGCTGCATCTGCCCCCTTGATCCTGTGGTCTTCTTTCCTCACCTGGGCGGTGGGGATGAGCCTCCTACTTAACTACAAGATGGCAGAGAAGATCACCTGAGGCGATGCCCTCCGGTGCTTCTCCTTAGTGAGCATCCACAGACCTCAGTAGGAGCCTGGAGAGAGATCCCTTTTCAGTAAGACCCACCTTTACTGGGCTGTGAACAAGTCCAGTAAAGCTGCTCTAATCATTCATAAGATTCTGTGAGACAGGATCAAGAACCTGTTCTTACAATGTGGTTTCTTTGGGGTCTTCTTGTCATGAAGACATGATCACATCATTTCTTCCTTTCAAAGAGCCATTGAACTAAAAGCTAAATAAGCTTGCTCTTAAGACCCGATGTCCACATCTCACACTGGATGTAGACGTGCTCCAAGGTGGACATCTCCTTATGGGGCTGCATGTTCTTCAGTCAGTGTGGTGGGTGTCTTCTGAATTTTCTTTCCAATTCCTCCAATGTCTGCCTCTGTCCTGGAGCCACAGGTAGCACACAGTGTGTACCTGCTGGAGCAGGTGACATCAGCCGAACCTGTGCCTGTTTCATCCTCATCTTACCATCAGCGAATGAGAGTCTGGCAACCTGGAGACTCCTAGGGAAAAGTTACTAAATTAAATGCATTTCCTTGTTTGAGAAAGTGTTACTTCTTTTTAGAACTTCCATTTATTTTGTTAAAGACTTTTTTTAAAAAAAGATTTTATTTATAAATTTGAGAGAGGGGGAGAGGGCATGAGGAGAGGGGAGGGTCAGAGGCAGAGGGAAAAGCAGACTCCCCGCCGAGCAGGGAGCCCAACGTGGGGATCAATCCCAAGAGCCTGAGATCATGACCTGAGCCGAAGGCAGATGCTTAACCAACTGAGCCCCAGGTGCCCCTTAAAGAGTATATTTTAATCATAGGTTTAATATGTGTTCATTCTTTAAAATTTTGAAAAAAAAAAGGAGAGAAGTTTCCTATCCTGAAGAAACTACTTTTGGTGTACATTCTTTCAGATTTCTGTTTCCCAGAATATGTAACTTTGTGTATTGATTTAATTACTTTATGTGCACCAATTTGCCACTTCCATGCCAATGTGTCTCCTCCTTTCAATGACTGGGAAGTTTCATGATTGTAGGTAAATAGTTGATTTAAACACGTCTTCGTTATTTGTATTGTTCTCAGCTGCTTTGATGCACAAAATGTTTGCACAGCATCCTGTTATTTCTCTAGGATGCTCCCTAATGCAGTTACTGCTCTGTCCTCACTCCAGCTCACTCTTCCCAGCCCTGCAGGACCCCCCTTGCTCTTTCCAGAACATTCCAGACATGCTCCTGGAATCCCACCGTTGTCAGCCCCTCCCCCTGTGAGCCCCCAGTGACCGCCAGGCTTGCTTCCTCTGTTCTTCGGATTTTCAGCTTTTCATCAAGACCTTCATCCCTCTCTGCCCCTTCTCTGCTTCTCCCCGTGATGCTCTGATTACCTGACGTGTTAAATTTGTGCGCTGTGTCTCCTCTCACTGAAGTGTAAGCATCCCTGGGCGCTGGTTTTCGTTAGTTTTATTCACTTCTGGTGCTAGAACCAGAACGGTGCCTTAAGTGATTTGTGTTCTTTCTCTCCACCACTTAGTAAGTGCTTTTAAGTGATTGAATACGTGGATGAACCAATGGCTAAAGTGGAGAGTTGACACCTTCCTGAAAGATTTTCACCCATTGCCCGGTTGACACCTGCGATGGCTTTTTGAACTGTATGCCAACCAGAAATGCATAAAGGCACCCGTTTCCCGACAGTATTTGCAGTGGTGGATTCTTATTGTCTTTCATTTTGCTGATCAAGTAGATGGCGAAGATGGTATTTTTTGCTAATGTTATTTTATTTTTTTAAAGATTTTATTTATTTATTCATGATAGTCACAGAGAGAGAGAGAGACAGAGACATAGGCAGAGGTAGAAGCAGGCTCCATGCACCAGGAGCCCGACGTGGGATTCGATCCCAGGTCTCCAGGATCGCGCCCTGGGCCAAAGGCAGGCGCCAAGCCGCTGCACCACCCAGGGATCTGCTAATGTTATTTTAGAAGATTGTACAGTTTTTTTTTTTTCATATTCACTCAGCACAAAAGAGCAGCTCTTACTCTGTGTGTCTCTTTTATTAGAGAGGGATGTCCTTTTTAAAACCCTTCCCTCCATCCTATTATGATTATCTCAGGGTTGTCATGGTCTACTTCCTGGTGCAAAGGGCATGAGACCACCATGATTATCTAGTGGGGAGAGGTGGTCTTGATTCACTTCCTGTGCAAAGGGCATGAGACCACCATGATTATCTAGTGGGGAGAGGTGGTCATGATTCACTTCCTGGTGCAAAGGTCGGTATCAGGGGTCGTGATTCACTTCCTGGTGCTGAGGAGAGCCCTAACTGTCCTTTAGGAACTGATCAAACCAGGATTCTGTTGGCAGGTGGGAAGCTGAAGGTTGGCTCTCAGGAGGCGGTCACGGTGCATCCCAGGTGCTGAATTAGCTCTTGTTTGATTGATTACTGCCTTATCTCTTAAAATGGAGCCAGGTTGTTATACTTTCAGATAATTTTTATCTAAATAATTCATGACCAAAACTTGAAAAATACAAAGAGATCAAAAAAAAAAAAAAATCCGCGAGTCCCACCATCCAGATAACTACGTTGATATTTACCATTCCTAGGTTTTCCTTACATTCCCTCTGGTCTTTTCCTTTGCGTACTTTTATGTAAATTTGATAATTCTGCATATGCTGTGCCAGGGCAATCTTTCCATCTACATTTATAGCAAAAATGTTTTCATATATATGTGTATATGTACGTATATTTGCAAACTATGTGCACTTTCATGCCCACGTAGTTTTCTGTGGACCTTGGATAAGTTTCATATCCTTTCCGATTCTGGGATGTCAAGTGGTCCGTGTCCCCAGAATCGCCAATAAGAACACGTAGGACACTTTTTTCAGTTTTTTTAGGATTGTTGTGAAATTGTTGTGTCAGAGTTCGTGAACACTTTTACTCTCCCATCGTTTTCTGAAAGAATTGTCCACTGGTACTACCCATAGTAATGTCTGCGAGTGGGGCTGTTTTGTGCCAATTAATTTGTATCATCAGGAAACGGGTCATCGACCTGTTCTCTTTTGGATGTGTAACAGTTGGAACCTCGTTCAGAATAAACACTAATAAAAGCTTAAGTAACTCCAGTGGCCACGGTTCAACGGTCCCCTGTGGCAGCTTGTTGCAGATTTTAATAGCACAAGGGATTTTGATTTCCTTTTATTTTCTTTTCCCCTTCTACTATTTTCCTCCCTCCTGGGTTTAAAACATGTTTTCCTAGCTCCAGTTAAGCCTCAGTACTTCTTGTTCTGTCTTTGTTGATTAATGAGTATAATTGACCCCTGTTGTCTCTATTATACAAGCCACAGCAATTTGTTTTTATGTAGCAGTTATATTCTGAGCTGTCACAAAACCGCCTCACAAAGAGCGAGCTCATTATCAGCCTGAAGGAAAAGAATTTTAAGTGATGAAGTGAATAAAGTTCCCTAAAAGGAGGAGAATGAGGAGGAGGAGGAGAAGTCTAAGCTGTTGGAAATGTTCAAGGAAACGAAGAGCTCTAGGGGCAAAATCACCCATTGTTGCTTAGGTACCCGGCAAGACTCGGTTATATCTAGGAATTATTAGATTAAATTATTAGATTAAAAAGGGCTCCCCATAGAGAGGGTCTTGAAGACTGGATGTAGAAGGATTGAATGTAGGTCCAAGAAACCACAGGGCATGACATTTGATGGAGTGGGTTGAAGCCCATGGGAAGTTCATGGTTATAAACATGATTATAGAACGCCCAGCTAAATGCCTCTGTAGGGGAGCGGAGGTCACTTCTACGTTGGAAAGTTTCATGTGACCATCAAGAACACCCACGTTTCCACAGTATTTCAGAAAATGGCCGTTATTCATTTATGTTGTTTTTTTTTTCTCCCCTACTTTCCCTCTTCCCCCATGATCTCAATGACATTTTCATCAGCTCACAAAAGTAACGAAGCAGCTGAGGTCCAGGGAAGAGACGTTGGAAGGGAATGAGATCCTGGCTTGAGCGAAGTCAGTCTGCCACAAACCTTAAACAAATGGGGTCCTTCTGTTGCAGAATTCATCTTGTCTTCAGTGATTTTATGGAGAGCTCTTGGAGGAAGTGTCCTGTTGCATAACCTCTCTTTATCAACCTTGCCACACTTTTTCTCATAGGAGGAGAGGAAGGAATTAACCACAGAAGGAAGGGGAAAAAATCCTAAGTAGCCACAATAAAATAATTAATAAATGGTGGCTCCAAATTATGAAAGGCAGCATCTAGAGGTGATTTAAAAGATCTTCTCTTTATTTTGTGAATAAGGGAGGTCAGGCACAGAAAATTCCATTTGCTTTCGCCTTGTTTCTCCCAGTTCCTGGTAGAGCTGGCTCTCAAATCCCGAGTGTCTTCCTTTCATAGGTTAGGTAGCTCCTCAGCAGTTTGAGCTGGCTTTTGGGCAAATTCTTCTGTTCTCACAGATTCATGTAAATATTTGACCTAAAACAGCTCCAGAGAAACCATTCTCAAAGTGGAGGGTTATAGTAATTGTAAAGAAACTTGAATTATCTTATTTAAACCATGTCTTATTTTTAAGTGTTCAGAAGAAAGTTGATTTAGTTCCTTGCAGAAACTTCTGATGCAAGAGCCATGTGGCTCTGGAGAGAGTGGCAGGGGCAGGTGGAAAAGCTTTGAGAATCTCTCTGAAACTCTCTACAAAGAGTAGAGCATCCCCAAACTATAAGACTTTTTATCTCCTTGTTGGAAAGAAATGAGTTGTCAACCTTTATAGAATGGCAGGGATGTCTTAGGAAGAAAGGGGGGCATTTCTGCCACTGATGGTCAGCAGGGTATGAGAAGCCTAAGGGTCAGTGTCTGGGCCGGAGGAGGACAGGTACCTCTTGGTTAACTTACCTCCACTTGGTTAACCCCATCTTCTAAAAAAAAAAAAAAAAAAAAACTGGGCAAATTGAGCTTCCTCAATGAAAAGAGTACTAGCTCATACTTGGGCATACAAATGGAAGTAGGCACCTGGTGTCTTGACTTTCTTCAATGAAGAATTTCTGGAGTCACTATAGCTGTGGGATTTAGTCACCACAAGTCTCTGTGTTACGTGAGTTTGTAGGTATAGAATTTACGATGGTCGGAGGAAGAGAAAATACGGATACGGCTCAAAAACATACTTAAGAACTCCCTTGTGGATTTTTCCCCCCTACACTAAAACCCATCAAGAGAGAACACTCAATGGGCAGGCCAGGTGGCTCAGCAGTTTAGCGCCGCCCTCAGCCCAGGGTGTGATCCTGGAGACCTGGGATCGAGTCCCATGTCGGGCTTCCTGTATGGAGCCTGCTTCTCCCTCTGCCTGTGTCTCTGCCTCTCTCTCTCTCTCTCCCTCTCTCTCTCTCTCTCTCCCTCATGAATAAATAAATAAAATCTTAAAAAGAGAGAGAGAGAGAGAGAACACTCAAGTGTAGAATATGGTGAAATTTTACAGTTTCAGTTTATCCTAATTGGGATCACACTCTGCTTTCCTCGCCATCCTCTGTGGCACATGCAGGAAATGCCAATGACACTCCTGTGAAGAGGTGTTTTGCCGTCCAGGGGAAACCCTACCCCCAGTCTCTGCTCACTGTATGATTTAGAACTGTTCCGTCTTCCCATGACCTTCCCAAGACCTTCTCCTGTGTCTTGTCATGGCGGGCATGATGGATATACTCTAATTTTGCCCCTCCTGCCGAATGAAAGGGATGATGGAAGGAAAAAACCCACTTTGTAAAGATCTGGATTTCATTAAGTTCAGTGTGTGGTAATAGAAGGTTCTCGAACCCCTACCTCCGTGTGCCCCCAGAGCCTCACCTGGAGTGGAGGGGTGCCTCCCTTGGATTCGCATTTTTCCTTCCTCCTCTGCAATGCAACCGGAAGGCAGGGCTGCTGCTGCTTTTCATGCCTTTCGAGGCTTTCTCGCTAAACCCTTGACTCCTTGTATGCTATTTGCTCTGCCTTCTGTTATCCTTTAAAAAAACATCCCCCTGAGGTGGTGCTTTCTAATAAAGTCTCATGGTTTTCCTCAAAGATACTGAGAAGCAATGTCATGTGAACTGAGGATTTCCGTGGAGGGAGGTATTCCTGTATATTTCTGCAAAATGCATTGTGGGGACGTGTTGCGTATATTTTCGTGTCTAAGCTGCTCTCCCCCAAAGCACATCTACCTGCTGACATGGGCCGATGGGGGTGAGCTCCACCCTGCACCTGGTGTCAGGCCCCATGCTCTGATAATGATGGTATACCTCAACTAGTTAGTACTCTCCATCTTCCCACATACTCCTCAGAAAATCGGGCATGTGGTCCAGAGTAGGAGAGGACTTCCCCTTTGGGGCCCTATCCTTGGACCTCTTATTATTTTAATTAGTGACACACTCTAAAGCTGTTCATGTGGTCTTAGCTTTAGCTTGACTAACGTCTGTGTTTTGTCCTGTACAGGTTACTCTGGCCAGGACTTCGACTGGGCAGATTATCACAAGCAGAATGGGACAGAGGAAGCACCTCCCTTCTGCTTCAGAAACGTAAGAAGCTTGGTTCTTGCTACTCCCTTTAATCCTAGACATCGTTCACCATGAATTTTGTAGTTGCTTTCTGTTCATGAGTAAGATTAGAGTGCTCCCATGTTTCACAGCATCACAAAGGTTTTGTGGTTTTTGCAAAGCCCTCTTTCGGGTTGTGTGTCAGGGTGACTCTGGGCCATAGTCACAGATCCACTACTGAATGTACAGTGGCTCAGTGGAGCCTCCTTTCTCACTTACGGAATGGTCCAGTGTGTTCCGGATGAGCGCGTGCTTCTTATGGTGAGCTCCGCCCTGGGTGGCCTCTGGCTTCATCATCTGAATCTAGTGTGCAGGTAAGGAAAGGGATGAAGGAGAGGATGGTCTTCCTTGTGGCCCCATAGCTGATAATGACGCGTTACTCCATTCACCCTCCACTAGTGAGAACTAGTCCCTCAGCCGCACCTGCTGCGAATGAGGCTGGGAAACGTACCCCAGCTAGGTGACTGTTCACAGCCGTGATTTCATACTCCTGAGAAGAGAGGACATGTTTGGGAGGCCACCTCCCAAATGCCACCATGACATAGGCACTTGCTGCGTGGAGTATAATGTCAGTGAGCCCCTTGATAAGAGATTGTCTGCGCTTGTGGTATGTTCTTAATATATGATCATAAATGTCTTTTCTTGGATTGCTTCATTAAGATGCTAGGCTAAGAGTTCTCTGCTGTGCTTATTGTAAGCCACTTCCTTGTTCAAATAAAGCTGTTGGCGTGATGGCACATAAAATAGCGGCATGCAGATCTGTGTGTGTGTGTTCACACGTGTGTACTTGTTTCGTTATAGGAGCTGATTGTATAAAGTAGCTTATAAATTATTCATTTAAATCTTATCAACACTAGGAACTATGAAAAGGGATACAGATTATAATTTCTGTTTTAAGAATAAGCCGTAAGTATATAGCCAATTGTGTTGAACGTGCATTTAGTTATGAAAGTTAGTTCTTTATGCTAAAAAAACAAAACAAAACAAAAAAAGACTCAGTCTTCTAAGTGGGGACTGCAGATACTACCATGCAGAATGCTCCCAAATCAAAGACTTCTTCTGGACCTAGGCTCCTAGAGCGGCTGATTCCTTGCCACCCCACATATAATTTGTACTGCAGGGCTAAGGGCATACGAGAACGAAGAGGCAGAGGGGTTGGCTTCATAAAGAAGCTCAATCCTGAGCAAAAGTCGGAAGTGGATTTTGAAGAATGAAGTACATCGATCACCAGATCAGCTCGTACACAAACATGCAGAAACACATCGGCGGTAGAGGTGGAAATCAGGGCTCCTGAAATGATTGAAGGGACTTTCTAGTAGCTGACACTGCATTTGCACAAAGGGGGTTCTCCTGCAGCATCAAAAGATCTGTGTGGTAAGTTGAGGTGGTGTGACGGGGAGCCTGTGTAGGCATGCCACCATGAGGTTAGCCTTGGGTTAGCTCCCAGGGCTTATCAGGTCCCAGTGCATCTTACTAAACTAAACCTTTTACTGTAGTGACATCACTTGCCACAGAGTCCTGGCCTCATTGCCATTAGTTTAGGATCATGGAAATACTTATCACATCCCCAAACTCCTGTGAAGTTGTGCTTTGTACCCCAAAAAAGAAGTATTTCTTCCCTACCTCTTCAGCCTTGGGAAGGAGGAAAATCCTGATGTGTCCACTAGTTCTGTACGGAGGGAGTTGTTTCTTCTATGAACACTGCAGCTTCTTTTTATCTGTCCCCTGCTCCTGTTCAGCCAGTAGCCGACCAAGTGGAATTTAATAGTGGAGCAAGTAGCCACATCCCCAGGTGGCCTCTGAGCTTTCAGGATTTAGCTACCAAGATTAAATTTCTTTTAATGAATATGCTGGTGTATTCATTAGGAATGCACTTGTTATAAATATGCCCGCTTTGTTTCTGGCTCCCCGTTTATTTAATCGACAGGATTGTTATCTGCCTGTTGGCGTATGCATTGCATTACCGGGTACTTTGCTGAATTTTGTTAGCTTGCTACAAGTGCTCCTTAATGGAATGCTTATTATGAATTCATTTTTTAATCACACATCTTGTGTGTACTAGAGGAGAGGTAGTGTGGAAGTGAATGCATGGAAGACATTTCCCTGGGGATGTTTAACAATCAGAGGCAGCTCTGGAATGGATTGACACAGGCAAATGCTTAGTAAAATAAACTCACAGGTAACAGTTTTGCTATTGATCTTTATAAATTACCCTCAAGCAGTGAGTTGAAACGAAAATAGGTTATGTGGTTGTAGCTTTCCCTTATTAAGTAGGATAAAATGCATTTTAACTTACTTAGAGGCTTTTCAGGCAGCCTATCAAGTTGTATTATCAAAAAGAAGCTCAATACATAATATTCATGGATGAGGCAGGATGACTTGCAGAAAAATAGTCCACCTAGAATTTCCGTGGTTCCCATTTCCAAAGAAACATAAAGGAAAAGAGCAAATTGCTTTCTTAACATACACTGGATAATTTTGTTCTGGTTACATAAAAATATAATTGCATTTGCAACTTAACATATATAAAAAGATACGTGAATGTGAATAACCTTGGTTTCCTCCCATGGATCATATAAAGATATGATCTCTATTATTTACAGAAACCTGTTAATTTCATTTTATATATTTTAAAATAGATACATACAGTATTGTAATGTCTGGTTAAAATTTATAGCAGTGGATGATTTGGGAAATTTTTATATGTTTATTTAAAAATAATGCTTGGAGGGAGTTTTGCTTTGAATATTGGCTGAGCTCATACTGAGTTGACCCCCTGGCAGATAGCAACTATAGACTCTGCACAGGACAGGGTACCAAAACAACTACCTGAGGAGTGTGGAAAATGAACAAACAAAATGAACAAACAAAATGAACAAAAGTGAGCAGATCTAGAGGGGAGCAGGTGCTTGGAAGGAACACTGTGGAGTGATTGTGTGATTTTTTTTTCAAACTTCTTGACAGTTGACAATGTATGAGATGACAAAACCAGTAATGTAAAAATCACACTCTTTCTGTCCCGATGAACCTGATAACAGAATTTGAGCAATCACAACTGTGGGAAAGTGAGAGGAGTCTCAGAGAGGGAAAAGCCAGGAGATGGAACCACAAATCCTATGTATAAACTTGGTCTGAATCTTTGGCTGATCCTCAGATTGTGTATTTTCCCAGCAAATTTATAGCAGCCCAGTTAAGGACAAAAGACTGAAGTGGGGTTTGAGCTCCTTCTCAACATATAGACTGTGTAGTTCGAATCAAACCAAGTTAGTTCCTTGCTAAAACAGAAAGCCAACACTCTTAGGAAGAATATAACACAGTCCAGGGTCTCTACCATGTTAACATTTAAAACATCTAGACTTCAGTGTTGCTCATAACATAAAGAAATAGGAAAATCTGACTCATTCGCAGTAGAAAAGCTAATCAACAGAGACCAAACCCAACATGACCCAGATGTTGGAATTAGCAGACACGTATCTTAAAGTATCCATTTGGGGTACCTGGGTGGCTCACTCTGGTAAACGTCAGGCTCTTAATTTCCACTCAGGTCATGATCTCAGGGGTCCTGGGATTAATCCTTGTGTCAGGCTTCACTTTGTTTAGTGGGGAGACTGTTTGTGGATTCTGTCCCTCTGTCCCCTCCCCCAGATAAATAAATTTGAATTTTGGAACAATTTGAATGAAGCAAACTTCACATCAGAGACCAGGGACACCAGAAAACAGTGAATCAATGTTTGTAGCACACTGAAGGGAAGAAACCACAATCCTGTATGCACCAAAGCTAATAATACTTCCTGAGTGAAGAGAGAAACAGACACTTTGCCAAGGAACATAGGCAACTGACAAAGAAACATGAAAAAATGCTCGACATCATTAACAATAGGGAAAATGCAAGTTAAAACCAGGGTTCAGGAGCAGCCCCAGTGGCTTAGTGGTTTAGCGCCGCCTTCAGCCCAGGGCGTGATCGTGGAGACCCGGGATCGAGTCCCACGTCCAGCTCCCTGCATGGAGCCTGCCCCCCCCACTCTGTCTCTGTCTCTCATGAATAAATAAATAAAATCTTTAAAAAAAAAGACAGGGCTCGGGAGCAGCGGACACCTATTAGAATGGTTAAAATTTGAAATAATGCTAATACCAAGTGCTGTTGGGGATGTTTAGCCACTGAACCACTGCACACTGCTGATGGGAATGCAAAATGATATATGGAAACCAATTTGGTTTCCAAGGAAGTTAAAAGTACATTTACCATGTGGTCCAGCAATTCCATTTCTAGAGAAATGAAAGCTGGTTATAGGCTGCATTGTATTCCTCACAATTCATACGATGGAAGTCCTAACCTGGAATACCTCACAATGTGACTATATTTGGGGTTAGTTTTCAAAGAGAGAGTTAAGGAAACATGAGGCCATATGGGTGGGTCTTAATCCAGTAGGACTAATATCCTATGAGAAGTCGTAATTAGGACCCAGGCCACGCGTGCATGGAGCAAAGGACGTTTGGAGATGGAGAGAGAAGGCGGCTGTGTACAAGCCAAGGAGAGAGTCCTCAGAAGAAACTGGCCCTGCTGACACCTTGATCTGAGATTTCCAGCCTCTGGAACTGCAAGACAAATATTTGTTGTTAGAGCCACCCAGTGTGGTGTATTTTTTTATGGCATCCCGAGCAGACTAATCTACTCTGTTCACACAAAACTTTGTGCTTGGGTGTTTATGGCAGGTTTATTCACAATGACCAGGGATTGGAAACAGCTTGCATGTCCTTCAGTGGGTAAATGGATGGACTGTGGCACATCTATAGGAAGTACTCAGCAGTAAGATAAAATGAACTGGCCATTTGTGCAGTAGCACGGATGAACCCTAAGTGCATTTTGCTTCTGTGGAGTAATCGAGACCACACAGTGTATGGATCCGTTTGTGTGATCTTATGGGGAAGGCAAAACTCTAGGAGTAGAAGACAGGTCTGTGGTCCAAGAGTTGGGAGTCTGGAAGGGATTGAGTACCAAAGGGCAGTGCAGAGGTATTTTGAAGGTGAAGGGACTGCTATGTGTGTTGATTGAGGTTATGGCCACATGACTGTATGCATGTATAGGGAACAGGGCACCAAGGCAAGTGAATATTCTCACGTGTTAATTTTAGAAACTGCATTTAGAAAGTAAATGAAAGTAAACCCAAAGCCATAAATGTAAAATAAAGACAATTTCAGAGAAAGCTGTGGGAATTCGCCACCAGCAGACCTGCACTAGAATCACAGTGGTAACGAATGTGCTTCAGGCTGAAGAAAATGATGCCAGACGGAGACTCAGGCCCTGTCCTCGCCCCCTGAGAATATGCCCAGGTGTGGTGCGAGTGAGGAATCTAGGGAAGGAAGAAGAAATGATTTGTACCTCAGTGACTGCGTAGAAGTTAGGGCACCTGTGGAACTGGGAAGAGAACGTATCTGTTCCCTCACTCAACAGATATTAGTAGGCACCTGCTGTGTGCCAGCAGAGCTCTAATGCTGGGATGTAAATGAAGAGGTCATGGTTCTTTTCTGTTGAATGGCAGGAAAGCCAGTTTGTCATATGGGCGAGGTCTGTGTGCCTGGGTGCATGTGCGTGTGCCCCTGTGTGTGCCCACATGTGCGTGTTCCCCCTTCGCCAGCGGGCCGGCCTATTGCTGCATGCTACCCTGCTACACTGTCCACTGGCTCAGTGTCTGTTCTCTCTCTCTCTTCCAGACGTCATTCAGTCGGGGGTTCACCAAGAACATGAAACTTGAAGCTGTCAACCCCAGGAACCCAGGAGAGCTCTGCGTGGCCTCTGTTGTCAGCGTGAAGGGGAGGCTGCTGTGGCTTCACCTGGAAGGTACGTTCGGTTCTCAGCCGTTCTGGAGAGGTTAGGGTCCATCTGGAGAAGGCAGGCTTCACTTAATACTTCTCAGAAATAACCCCTTCCACTTCCCTTTCATTTAAACAGATCTTGAATTATTCAGCATTCTTAAGTAAGTGCAACTAATCAAATATAAATTTGTTCGGAGGCTCTCATCTTAACTAATAATTTCATGAAACGAGATACTGGTGTGATAATTATGTTTGAAACAGTGGTCTTTTTACAACTTTGATTATAAAAGCTAATGTCACAATTAAATTAAAAGGAGTCACTAAAACTGGTATTTGAGGTCTTAGTTATTATGAGGATTAAATTATATATTTGCATTTTAATGTGAATAATAGCCTTTACTTTAGTTTCTTCCATAGATGTTTACTTTTACCTTGAAATAGTCATTGGAGATGACTTTCTCCCCAAATATATAATACACAAGATTTGTTTGTTTAATGATGCTTAAACTGTTCTTTATAGCTACGTTTTTTTTATAATTGTGCAGATAATTCACAGAACATTATACTTCGTAAAAGGAACCATGATCAGATTTTAGATTGAGATAGAACACTATATATTTTTTATATGTTACATTTTTAGTGAGAAGGAATTAAGTCTGGATCTGGAAGGTTTTCCCATTTTTCTGTGATCTAAATTTTTGGGGTTTGTTTGTTTCTTATTTTCACAAAATTCATTAATTATTTTAAATGTGTATGGAAAAACAAGACTGGTTATGAGTAGTAAAATGGCATTAGCTCTCTTGGCCCATATTTTAACCATTTAACCATGCTCCTACCCCCATTGGAATGGAAAGTTTGGAAGGTCATAGAAGTGGTGCTAATCTCGTCATCCTCTCTCTTGAGAAAAGTCTAAGAAGCATCAAAAATTCTGGGGCTGACGATCTCATAAATGTTACAGTCCAAGTGGGTGGGATGGGTAGAGAACAGTGATTATAAGTGAGCGTCACCGTGTCATGAATTCCTAGAAAAATGACTTAAAATGTTACTGGGGTTGAGGATTTCAAAATCAACGTGAAATAAAAGGAAATTTTCAAAAAGTTGATTGCTTGGGGGGGGGGTGTTCAAATAGAATGGCCTCTAGCGGGAATTAACCCAAAGGTAGACACAGGCATGATGGTGATATTTCTGCAGCCACGGGCATAGAGCGTGACCTTATTTTCATTACTACATGGAAAGTCAAGTCAGCTGCTCTTGGAAACACAAGATCCCTCCTGTGATTTCAATCCCTGCTTTAAACCTGCTGACTAATAACTCTGCTAAGTTATATTGCAAGATCAGGGTCTTGCTTGGTGTTATTAACTTGAAAACAAAAACGGTAGATTTCAAAGCCCACGTTTCATCATTATGATTTAGCATATTACCAATGAGATTCTCTAGCAGTCATTATTTATTTAGCAGTTTGTTCTTCCAGAGTGCTGTGCAGCTGTTAATTACCTAACCCAGACAACAGTGAGGGCATCCTGATTTTTACAGATGAAGAAAGGAAGCTAGCTAAGCCGTGAAGATATGCCTGGGGTCAGTTTCCTTGTCCTTGACATCTTTGTTGGTTAATTCATCAGACCCTACAGCTTCCCAATTCTTAAAAAGAATGAGGAGTAGCAACCTTGAGTGTCTATTTAACATTTTTGACAGCCTTTTCTCCTTATGACTGCTTTGCTTTGGATATCAATTTCTATTTTTATAGCAAAGAAAAGTAAGGCAGCTCACATCAGCTCTTACTCTCCAGAGTGCTTTCTTATCCCACAGCAGTGAAATCGGTTACCATTAGGGAAAAAGAGTTTAGAAAATAGATTGTCCATTTTTTTCCAGACCTTCCACACTTAAGAAAATTTTTTATAAACAATTCGTTGCACTTTATCTACCTGGAATTCATGGTCAAAATCATGTGTTTCATCAAATAAAGTAAAATCCCATTTTGTCCCTTTGTTCTTCCTTGAATTTGGGGGTTTTCAGGTTTTGTTCTGTTTTGGTCTCTTCTGAATATTACCTTTCAAAGTCACAGTGACCTTAGTGGCACTTACTTCTCATTGTTTTGCACTTTTGCGGATATAGTGTTTTCTTGTCTTTAGTCAAGGGAGCAAATGCTAGAAATTCATCATGGTCACTCTGTGGCTGTTAAATTATTTTTATGATGCTGGTGATTCTGATTATAGACCATTTACTTGACACTGTAAATGTAGAAAGTACATCATAACAATTTATTAGTTATTTTTATGCATTAAATTGATTTGAAGTATTTTCAACACATGGCTAATTGACCACTTTTAGGTAATTAAAATGATCATTTTTAATCTAATAGTTCAATTCTCTTCAAGTCAGTTCTTTAAGTATCTATAAAAGAACTGATACTGAAGGGGGGGGCAATGAATGAAATATATGAGATTAAGGTAGTATTATTTTAGATGCATATTTGAAAAGAATTACAAGCTCTCACAGGCCGCTGGCCATTAGCAGGTGCAATTTATGATGATGTTTTGTGTTTTAGAGAGGACGTTGTACTGCTTTTTCTCCTGTGTTAATACTCTGCTCGAGGTGATCATATCTATAATTATAAGCATTAGCCGTGGGATAGAAGTTGCTCTCGGTGGTAACGTCTCTAGCATTGCAGCCCTGTGCTCGTGTATCTGCATTCCTACCCGCCAAGTCACTTTTCATGCCTTCCAGATCGTTATCTCCAGGGACAGGTAGGGTGTGGGCCTTCCACCTGTGCTGAGGGTGAGTCAGCTCCCTTCCTAAGAGGGTTTACATCTTTGCCTTCCTTGGCTTCTCTTATCCCCATCATTACTAATATTTTCTTCCTCGTATCTCTCTTGAAGAGATACAATAAGCACCATATTCCTGAATATATTTACTTTTAGTCTTTTTGCTGAGGCAGGAATTCCTTTTATACCATAAAAGGAATGGCAACCAGCAGGCTTCATTTCTGGAAAGTTACTTAGCTCTTTTAGGTGCTGCCACTACAGAAATTTGAAGAGAGCTGTGGAAAGGAACCCCCAAACCCGGTTTTGACATCGGGAGTGCTGTCACATGTGAAAACGGGTAGGGGACTCTCGGCTGGTGTTTTTGTGTTTTGAGCGTGGGGGGGATATGATGCCCTAGAGGAGACGACCCAGAATCCTCAGGTCTGTGGAGAAGTATCAAAATATTTTTTAAAAAAGAGATTTATTTATTTCTTTGAGAGAGAACGTGAATGAGCAGGAGGGGCAGAGGGAGAGAGAGAATCTCAAGTAGACTTCCCGCTGAGTGTGAGCCTTACGCAGGGCTTGATCGCACAACCCTGGGATCACAACCTGATCAAAACCAAGAGTCAGATGCTTGACTCACTGCACCACCCAGGCTCCCTGAGAAGTATCAGAATCTTGAGAACAGGTTGCTTTACTCAAACCCAAATTAGGTTATTACCAACATCTCCTGATCTTTATTTTTTGCCACCCTTTGAAACGAAATCTAGAGAAAATAAAATCTTTCCACACTCAGTCCTGGAAAAACATACCTTGGAAGTGTCGCTTGGTCAGGCTGGGCCAGGTAGAGCTTCGGGCAGTAGGTTTCTCGAGCTCAGGAATGACATCGTGTCCCTGCGACCTGCCCGTCCCACACCGACAAGCAGAGAACACGCGGGTTGCGTGTTGGTGCCCCGTGTCTCCGCAATGAGAGCCAGCGGGGACAGCTTGCAGACAGTTGAAGCCCGAGCCTCATGTAAAATGTCGGGGGAGGTATTTAACCTAGCGCAGGGTCAGTTCGGGGATGGTCGTCAGCTCTCCTTTTCCCCTCTTGAGAAATGCATGTGCTTTGGAACCGTCCCATGACATTTCCTGATTTATCTGATTTTTCTCCTGGTTTTTTGGCTGTAGCGAGGTCGGCCTGCCTCTGTGGCTTTCCTGGTCTCCACTTGTTCTGAGTGTCATGAGGGTGTCCTGAGCTGGGTCACCTGGTTGTCAAGAGTGACCCTGGCAAGGTGCAGCTCCTTCACGTTGGGTACATGGACTTTCACAGGAGCCCGTTTGCTGCTCCTGTGGATTCACCCTACATGGGTGAATCTTTCTAGAGAGTGAACCCCCAGCCGCCTGCCTGGAGGGAGGCGTCACCTGGCTGGGCAGCACCAGCAAGGGGATTCATGGTGTCCGTGCTTCTGAGCGAGACTTGGGATCAGCCTCCTGTCCTCAGGTCCAGCCCAGCCAACCTTTGCCTCTCACGGCTGCCAGTCTGTCTGCCCCACATCTGCATAGGGCCCAGGGGCTGAACTGGCTTGCTTCTCACCTTCCTTTTCTTCTCACTTTGTAGAGAGCCGATGAATGAATGCATGAGCCCATGAGCAAATGAATGAATGAATGAGATAAGATGCTAAGTAATGTTAACAGGGTTTCTCGCTGGAGCCCCTCATGGCAAAATTGCTTCCATGAGGCATAGGGACGAGGGCCCAAAACCTCAGGCATGAAGACATCCTCCATGCAGGGCTAAGTCACCCTCGTATCAGATTCCTGGAGAATTCATTCTGTTTTGGACCAAGTGCTCATACAACAACCGAGAATGTGTGACCTTCCTAGAATGGCCCCAGTCCTACAAGAGATGCCTACATTTGTGATGGGACTGACCCCTCTGAGAGTGTGAGGACAGCTGTTGACACTCAGCAAATGCACTTGCACACGTATATGATTTTTGATGCAATTTCAGACCATCCATGGACCCTCTCAGTACAAATCTTGGGTGGGCCTCCTTGGAATCCCTGCAGGAGGCATTCTCGGGAGATGGTAGTAGACGTTAGTAGTCCACTGTGACTCCTTTGTCTTAAGTTAAATGATCATTTCAGTTCCTCCGCTGCACTGTCCAGTGGCTGCTGTTTTGGACAGCATAGGTACAGGATGATCCGTATAGAACCTGTGGATTCTGCGGCCCCCGCCCCCGACAGTGCATCTGTGTGTATCTTGAGTACCTCCTGAGTTTAAGACTGCTTTTCTTCTCTGTGGG